GGTGTGGGCTCACCCCTCCTGCGCCTCGGCTCGTGGGGTCAGCCGGGTTTTACTCACCCGGTGAGTGGGTCCCGAGACAATGAAAACCACCCTCAGCTTCATTCCCTTTCAACAACTGCAGCAGCCGCTTGCAAGACATACATGTACAGTGACATACAATGGCTGGAAAAACGTTAAGCGAATCAGCTTTTCCCATTACCTTGCTGCCATCCTTGTAGCATGTTGTCATCCTTGAGTTCACCAGCCAATGCAGTTCTTCTGTTATCTCAGCTCAGTATATCTGATCCCAGAGACGTCCCACGAGCCTAAGAAAAAGGATTTTACAATACAAGTGTTACCAGTGGCCTAGGATAAATTTATGCTCAGAGCCCTGAAGCTAATTCAGGCGTATTTTCCAAAAAACCCCCCACTGCACCATGGAAGGACAATGTGTACAGTCGGATACATCACCCAGCAAGCCCTCAGCTGCAGCACAAAGCTGGGGCTGCCATACAGCCTTCCTAATGGGAGTAAAGCAGGCAAGGAGAAGTGTGTGAGGAAGGCTACTTATCTGTAAATAGTGTTTTCACAGGTGCCTTGCGTACATGCCACATTTATTCTTCACCCCCACCCCTGTTCTTCATCCTACTCAGTGCTCACTGACTCCCAGGATAAAAAAGCCCCAAGGCTGAAAGAGAGGGGCTGAGAGAAGGATGTGCAATGTGCCAGCTCACACGTATTCCTCTCTTGGGAGCTGGACCCAGACGTCCCTGCAAGTCACAAGTGGGGCAGCGGGGAAAGGAAGGAGTCCAGCCTGTGGTCTGAACGGCTTTGGGGCTCCCCGCCCGGCAGGGTGAGCAGCCATCATGTCTTGAGGACTCGCATTACTGCTAATATGAGTTCCAAAATAAAACACAAACAGAAAGTCTGTAACACTGTGAATTTAGAGACTATTGTGACTTTCATACATTGAGTCTCACTGGGAACTTCAACTGCTTGGGAATGCTGGGGAAGCAAAAGGGCAGAAAAGCACTGTTTTATGAACTGGCTTTCCAGGCACGTCAAAAGCACACATCCTCCAAAAACCAGAATGGCCAGTGGTTGTTTTAACACTTAAGATGAAAAAAGATTTGGAAAAAGGTAGCTGCTTCTTACCTCCAAAATAAATTAAAATTGGAACAGTACGATGTGAAACAACGGCTAAAAACATCCTGAAAAGCCTCGAGAAGGAGAATTAATGAGGCAGTTTTTAAC